GGTCCCCTCCCGGACGATATACCTATCCGTCCCTCGACTGAAATGCTCAGCGGTCCACAGTAGATGTATCTTAGGAAGCCACGCGCGGAACCGCTGGCCATCTACCGTGCGCTCGCCCTCGTCAAAGAGAGTGTCCGAGCCGTGCTGCGTGATCGGTTTGACGAGGTAGAACCGACCTTTGAAGTCTTTGACAGAATCGCTATACGCTTTAAAAATTTTGGTCGATTGTTTGAAGGAGACCCATCCGTGGCGACCTCGCACCGTCTGCCGCTGCAAATGAAAGATGCAGAAAAATAACGGCACCGTCGGCTCCACCGAGAGGTAGAAACACACCACCTCGAAAGCCCGAATGAAAGCCAAAGCGTTTGGGTGCAGCTGAGACGGGGCAAGACGCAGCCAGTCAAAAAGCCCCAGATGGAAGGCGGAAAACGGTAGCCGGAGCCGAGCTTCTTTAAAATAAAATTCATACATCGGGAACATCTTCCGCCCATATCGCGAACAGATCTGGTGATGCTCTTTCGGGCAGTACACCTGCCAGTGTTGCGTTTCTCCTATCGGCGTGTCCTCGACCGTGGCATACACGTCGGACGAGTCGGCCACAAAGCAAGAGGGGATGGAAAGTGGCTCCTCGGCCGCCCACTCCTCGGACGGGGCGATACGCTCGTCATCATACTCCGGGACCTCGGGTTCATTATCTTCAACCATTATCCCCGGCACCAGAGCCGACATCTACACCTGAAAGCAGAGGACATCGGTGAATTCGATAGCCAGGATCAAATCCACCCTTCCACCGCAAGTCAAGTGAAAGGGCGACAAAGGCCGAGAAGCGACGAGCAGACACTCGCTCCCCGTCTACCCTCATCGGGGATCGAAGAACGACCCCCTCACCCCCTTCGGGACGGCCGTCGGAGAAGGTACTTCTCCCCGGGGCATTCATCAGAAAAAGCCCCCATCCTCGGGGCATTCATCGGAGAAAACCCTCGTCCTCGGGGCACTCATCAGAAAAAGCTCCCGTCCTCGGGGCATTCATCGGAACTAGCCTACCATCCCCGGGACATTCATCAGAAAACTCGCCAGACGCGGCGGAACTCGCGTCCCTCCTCGGGGCGTTCATCTCGCCCCGACCACACGTTCCAGTTAGACGACGGAAATAAAAAGAGAGGGAAAAAAGGAACTCACTTGTAACGGCGGCGGACGGAAGAAAAAGAGCAAACGGTACGGCGGCGATCGGCGGCAAGCGGCGGACGAGCAGAGACGATAAAGATTAGCAGGGAGAAAAGTAACAGAATGAGCGAGGACCGCCATATTTATAACCCGGCGCGGGACTCGAAGCGACCCTAGGCTCATTAATGACATAGGTTAGCCGCCCCTACGACCGCTTAACACAAGACACGTGGCGGCAACCTGACAGTCGCGTCCCTTCACCTGCCTCCTCCCCGTTCTGCCGACGACCGGAGCCCTTCGTGCAAGTCCCCGCTCCAGACACGACGACCTTAAGTCCTCGCTCTTCCCCAGAGCTTCGACTTGGGGGGCTCCTGTTCCGGTATGGGCCTCACCTCGGCAGGCCCAATACCACATGCGGCCCAACAAGCGAGCTGGGCACGCCTGGCACGCGCCCCTTCGAACGAGCAGGACTGGCCGCCGGGCACCAGCTACATCTTCACGTCCCTTTTTGTCGTCTGTCACGCCGGACGAGCAGGACCACCCGGGCTCCCCTCCGCGGGGAGAATAACGTGCTCGGCGCACGTTCTCCACGTGCTCCCCTCCGCGGGGACACGTCACCGGCCAACTGCCCACCTCCGAAAGAGCAGGTCAAACCCACCTTCCGGAGATCTAGGAGCGGTTGAACTAGGGCGAAGACCACGTCCTGGTCTTCACACTACGCCACGTAAGCCCTAGCAGTCATTAGGGTTGGGCCTGGTCGTCCAGCCCACCTCGAATGACCGTTGGCCCAGCGCTGGGGTCTCTCTATAAATACCCTCTTCTTCAAGAGGGTCAGGTAACTCTTCTTGCCCCTTTTTCTGTACTATTGCTTCCTCTCTGTCCAACTTCTTACTTGGGCGTCGGAGTGCTTTGCAGGTACACCCCCCCTCCTCTTTCTCACACCCCGGCGAACAGATAACCGTCCAGCGGAGTGTGGCCAGTCCGTGATCCCTCCTGATCAGGTCAGATCATATATATATATATATATATATATATATATATATATATATATATATATATATATATATATATATATATATATATATATATATATATATATATATATATATATATATATATATATATATATATATATATATATATATATATATATATATATATATATATATATATATATATATATATATATATATATATATATATATATATATATATATATATATATATATATATATATATATATATATATATATATATATATATATATATATATATATATATATATATATATATATATATATATATATATATATATATATATATATATATATATATATATATATATATATATATATATATATATATATATATATATATATATATATATATATATATATATATATATATATATAAATATATATATATATATATATATATATATATATATATATATATATATATATATATATATATATATATATATATATATATATATATATATATATATATATATATATATATATATATATATATATATATATATATATATATATATATATATATATATATATATATATATATATATATATATATATATATATATATATATATATATATATATATATATATATATATATATATATATATATATATATATATATATATATATATATATATATATATATATATATATATATATATATATATATATATATATATATATATATATATATATATATATATATATATATATATATATATATATATATATATATATATATATATAATATATATATATATATATATATATATATATATATATATATATATATATATATATATATATATATATATATATATATATATATATATATATATATATATATATATATATATATATATATATATATATATATATATATATATATATATATATATATATATATAATATATATATATATATATATATATATATATATATATATATATATATATATATATATATATATATATATATATATATATATATATATATATATATATATATATATATATATATATATATATATATATATATATATATATATATATATATATATATATGCTTTACCAAAACCATCTAAAACAATTAAAATTTTGGATATTAAAACTTTTTTTGTGTTGCTATTTTCCCAAATCTAACTTAGGTGATGACTCTATTTTTCCTACCTCTCCAGACAGCACCAACCGCGCGACAAGGCTCGCCGTCTCACAGCCGTTAAACTCCGACAGAGCGCCGCCGTCCACCTCCGTCAGAAAACACAAAGCCATTGCACTTCTCTATATCTGTCTCCCTCTTCCTCATGAGAAGATAACTCACATACCCATTCATTTCTGCATTCTTGTTATAACCACTCCTTTTTCTTCATTGTTTGAGCTCTGTTAATTTTGCTGGTAAAAATTCAATCGTACACGTCAAATTAATTTCTATTCTTGACTTGTTTCTGTTGATACTGTTGATGTGTGTTACCTTTTTGGCATTGGTTTGAGTTTTCCAAACAAGGTGTTTGTTGAAATGCCACAATGAGTTTGCTTATGTTGATTTTGAGTATAACTTGTTTATAATTGTTGTTACATGTTTGCAAATTGATATTGTTTGTTGAGAATGCATTGTTCTTGTATGGTTGACTAAAAGTTCATCTTAACAAGCTCCGACTCTGAGTCAAGGTGCTCTGAGGATTGGTTTTTTATTCATTTAGATGTGTAGGTAACATTTGCTCAGTTTTAATTTGCGGAAGTTTATCCTTTAGTAAAAGGGATTTGAAAAATTGACAGGTTGGTAACTTTGATGCCATATTATGTGGTTTGATGATACTATTGAGATTAGTAAGTAGTTCAAATGCGCTGAGTCAGGGTCTTGGATTATAGAATATTTAGATGGAATAACCACACTTAACAAAATGAAAAGTCGAAAACCCTTACCTTTGTTTAGGGATCATCTATTGAAGTTCTCACTACATTGCCTTTATTTTCTACCTTGGCAAGTTGGCACCTTTTATGTCTTCATATCATCATTAAATAAAGTTGTAATTTAAAAGTCAGCATGAGAACATGACCCTTGATACCCTGCTTCCCAATTACATATGTTGTTGTTTTTAGGGAAGTCCTTGGATTTTCCAAATTAGTCATATAGTTCTATCTATGTAGTTTAAAATTGCTTAGATTTTTAATAAAGTAGCTGGAGGAGATGCCACTCGATATTTTTCTGTTTTTTCTTCTTTTTTGTGTTTGAAGTTGGAGTCACCACTGCCATTTCCTTTGCTTTGTGCTGTATTAATGGCTTTATTTTACTTTTACTTATGACCATGTTTTATTTTCCATCAATAGTATATTGTACTTATTGGGTTTCAAGTTTGACACGAACCTTTCTTAAAACGTCATCTTAATCTTTTTGTGCAGATTAGAAGTACCTGTCAAAGACAGCTGACATAGAGAAACTCACACATCACAAAAGTATTTTCAAGCAAACTTCAAGGAAATGAAACAAGTTAGTATGTTCAGAATAAGGGAACTGGTTAGGAAATAGTCCCCCAGTGGGTTACTATAATAGAAACGAAGAATAAATTGCTATTTCAATGGATGGCTGAGGTTTGTGACTTGCTTTATGGAAAACTGATTTGGTTGGTATTTAGTCGTTTGTTTGAAATTTGTTTATCAATAACCTTCAACTGAATTAAGGATGTGGTTTACCATTTGAAACCTGCTGTTGGGGTTTCTTTGACTATGTATCGTGCCAAATGTAACATACACTTATTTATATGCAAGAGGTGACAGTATTATGTACTGATAAGAGAAATATGACTCCTTCTCGTGAAGCTCTGGTTTTGATTCAGAAGATGGTGAAAGTTCCTCCAGAAAAAGCATTCTCATTCTTCATTTCCTCAACATGTCAAAGCTTTCAACACACCTCCCAATCCGTGTCGTTCATCTTAAATCATCTCTTCTCCTCTGGCATGCAAACCCAAGCTCAATCTGTACTTGTGCGCATAATTTCAGGTCAAATCTCGTCGTCTATGTTCTCCACTTCTTCACTTATGGACCAACTAACACAAACCCATTTCACCTCTAGTTCAACCTGTTGTCTTCTCTATGAATCAATTGTTAATGCTTACGTTCATTCTCAGTCCTCTGATGAAGCTCTCCATTTCTTGCACAAGATGATTCACATGGGCCATACTCCTATATCAAACACATTCAACAATCTTTTGAACTTGCTTATCAGATCAAACTGTTTTGACAAAGCATGGTTAGTTTTCAATGAGTTAAAGAACAAGGTTGTGCTAGATGTTTACAGTTTTGGGATCATGATCAAGGGTTGTTGTGAAGCCGGTGACCTAATGAAAAGTTTTCAGCTTCTTGCTATGATGGAAGAGGCGGGTTTGTCTCCTAATGTTGTCATATACACTACACTAATTGACGGTTGTTGCAAGAACAGTGATGTTCATTTAGCGAAGAAGTTGTTTTTCAAGATGGAACGATTAAATTTAGTTGCCAATCAGCATACTTACAGCGTATTAATAAATGGGTTTTTCAAACAAGGCCTTCAAAAGGAAGGATTTCAAATGTATGAAAACATGAAGCAAAGTGGAATTGTGCCTAATGTTTATACTTACAGTTGTGTGATAGGTGAATATTGCAATGATGGGAACATAGATAAAGCTTTTAACGCGTTTGAAGAAATGCGTGAGAAAGGTATAGCATGTAGTATTATGACATACAACCTTCTGATAAATGGGTTGTGTCAAACGAAGAAGCTTGGAGAAGCAGTAAAGTTGGTTTATCGTGTAAGCCGTATTGGCCTAAGGCCCAACATATTTACATATAACACATTGATCAAAGGTTATTGTGATGTTGGAAAGATCGACACTGCTGTTAGATTATATAATGAGTTGAAGTCAAACGGACTATCGCCAACAGTTGTGACATATAATACTCTGATCGCAGGATACTCAAAAGTTGGAAATTTAGCTGGAGCTCTTAACGTGGTCAAGGAAATGGAAGAGAGAAACATTCCTCCTACCAAAGTGACATATACAACTCTACTCAATGGGTTTGTAAGAATAAATTATATGGAAAAAGCATTTGAAATACATTCTCTAATGGAGAAATCTGGTTTGGTTTCAGATGTTTACACATATGGTGTACTAATACATGGGTTGTGTATGAATGGTAGCATGAAAGAAGCATCTAAACTGTTTAAATCATTGGAGGAAATAAACTTGGAACCAAGTAGTGTCATATATGATATAATGATTCATGGTTATTGCAGAGAAGGAAGCTCTTATAGGGCTCTTAGGTTACTCAAAGAAATGATTGGGAAAGGAATGGTTCCAAATGTGGCAAGTTTTTGTTCAACCATAGGTCTTCTTTGCAAGGATGAAAAATTGAAGGAAGCTGAGATTGTTTTACAACATATGGTAAATTTGGGACTAAAGCCATCAATATCATTGTACAATATGGTTCACAAAGACAAAAGTGATGTGTTGGATGTTGGTCTTGAAAGTGTAATATAATCCTGTTTTTTGTTTTTCTATTCCCAAGAGCTTTAAATTTATTAGAATGTCTTGAAAGTAAAACCTGTGAACTAGGAGATTTTAAATGGTGTCGAGGAGAATTGAACTCTTCCCCTAAAGTTGTTATGAAGACAAAGTCTTAGTTGTGAGCTCATAGGTCATATATCAACATTTAAGATTTTGAAGAAACAAATTAATAAGAAAATATCTCAAATCACGTTATTATTACTTCATGGTTCACATATAAGTCAATCTTAATTTTAATTTTTAGTGTGTCTATATAGTTCTTGTATAATTCAATCTTATTAGTGAGTGTGTCTAAAGTGTGTTCGATTTGTTGTCACACATTGATTTTGAATTTGTTCTGGTTTGGATCAAAGTCTAATCTATTTTGCCTCTGTCACACTACAAATCCCGCCAAAGAAATCCAATAGATTTTATAAAATCTCTTTGAAAGATCTACATCCCAGAGCGGTTTAGAGGGTCTAGGATTTATGAGCGGCTTAGAAGGTTTAGAATCTACAAGATGATCTCACCTTAAGGTTGTACAAGAGCAAAACTAATGAAGAATATATAAGAGATGTTGAATCAAGAGAATCAAAATTCATTAATCTCATTTTTAAGAGAATCAAAATTCATTAATCTCATTTCTTTGATGTCAGATTGCTAACGTCAATCCTCTGAGTAGTTATTTGTAGAAAATTTTAGTAGTAGAAGCATATGATAAACCTCTATACAAGGTTTTTGTGACAGTTTTTTCAAATTTGATTAGTATATCTAAAATAAGTTTCATTTATTGTTTTTGACAATGTTTTTTCAAATTTAATTTATTATATCTAAAATAAGTTTTAATTTATGCTGACGATATCATTCTAATTTTAAAAAGGAAACTTTTTATAGTATTAAGAACCTACTTCAAACTCAAAATCAACAAATCATTACTACTAATCCAAAATCACCTTGAAAAACACTTCAATCTAAAATCCTTGATTACCTCAAATATTTTCTATGTTTAGAAATAATAAAGTCAAATAAAAGTATTCACTTGTATTAAAGAAAATATACTCTTCAACTCCAATAAATATTAATTCTACTAAAGAAACTTCTTCCATAGTGTTAAATTAGAATAAACATTAATTTAAATTGATGGTTCAATAAATTCTAACAAACCAACAACAGAAAGTTAGAAATTTTTTTTAACACTTTTCACAATGTGGACCCAAACCAATATTTAAAAAAAATATATAAATGCTAACATAAGGTACATTTTAATGAGCTAAAAAAATGTATAATCAATTTAGTAAAATTTTTTACAATTATTATTTTATGTTAACTTTTTTACTCTTATGACTTTTTAATACTCTTAATTTTAATTATCAATTAGTCAACTAATTTAACAGTAATTAAATCAACTTAATTAAAGGGAGTGAGGCTCCTCTGAACAATTTGTTGTTGGTGGACCCTACACTTTGGAAACAAGAAAAGCTATCCACAACAACACCAACATCACACTTTTTAAGGATTCTGTTAAAGTGCTGTTTCCCACATCATTCACACACATGTCTTTCTTTACATTTCAAATTTCAAATTTGAATTTGTACTGTAGCACTTATCAAACGGCTACTTAAAATGAAAAATACTAATAGAATAATGCAACTAAACAAACAGGGTCATAATAATTGTCACAAAGTTTGGATCTTTTCAATTTTTTTAACGTTGGAGTGAAAAAAAACAACAACAACAACAACATGGGAGACTCAGGTTGTCTCATGCAACCGTTTTGTTATGCTTCTGGAATTTCCAATGAAGCCAATGAGGTAAAGTTTGTTCATTCATTAATCACTTTTATTTTAATTTGTTTTCTTCTGATCTTTCTTTTATTATCATTGGTTGTTTATGCATGTAGTTTATGAAATAAAGAGAAATGAAACTTTCTAAGTTGGTCTTCATTTATGATTTTGTAACATTAATTACTAGAATCTCTTAAATGTGTAGAACCCTTTTAAGTGATTTTCATAAAGTTGTGATTTTGCTTATTAATGCTGGTGAAAGTTTGAAGTTTTTTGGGGGTCTATTTTTGGAAACCCTTGTAAGTTGTAACTGATTTTTCATGGACTTATAATTTTTTTAATGTTTCTGTCTAGTGTTTCTTGGAGTCTGCTAATAATAGTGTTTGTCTTTTTCAATCCAGCCGTTAATGACCAGATATTTCTTTCACCGATATTGTATTTGTCGCTCGATCACACGAGATATGACTTGTGTTTGTCCAGAGTTCGCATTTTTTTAACACCTTTGAAGTATATAAACAAATCAAATATAGAATTAGCGTCTGTATTTGGTCCATTAACTTTGAAATATATAAACACATTAGTGTTCATTATATTTAGATTTAAAGTAGTTTATATAAACGAATTAGCGTCGTGCTTTGGTTACGACTTTAAAGTATATCGGAAATATTTTCCACAAGTTACATATCATGTTTTGTGAAGATTATTTATATACATTGAAAAAAACTATGAATTTGACAGAACAACACAAATCATGCACTTGGACAATCAATCTCATTTGGGAGGTTCATGACAGAGACACTAGCATGGGAGAAATGGTCTAGTTTCACTCAAAACCGTTACGTTGAAGAAGCAGAAAAGTATTCGAAACCGGGTTCAGTTGCGCAGAAGAAAGCTTTCTTCGAAGCTCATTACAAGAAACTTGCAGCTCAGAAAGCGGCTGCTGCGTTGCTTGAGCAAGAAGCAAACAATGCTGCTGCACAAAACAATGTTGCAGAACAACAAGAAAATAACGAAAAGGTTGATGAAAGTCCAAAGTATGAAATTGTTGTTAAGGAAGAACAAGACACAAATGTTTTGAGTAATGATGTTAAGGAAGAACAAGACACAAAGGTTTCTGAAAGTAACAAGTTAGAAGAAGATGTTTTAAGGAACTCAATGATGGTTGAATTGCGAAAAAAGATTGAAAATGTTGATACACTTGAGAAGCTAAGTGAAAAGCTTAGTGGAACAACTCCAATCATGACACCAGTATTGAAGGTTTTTAGCTTAAATGCATTTTTTGCAGTTTTTCTCTCCTCGGTCGCTTTATTTTCGATTTCGTTACCTTCATTTTTAAATTCACTATTTAAGTTTCCAAGGTATCAAAATGTCAGACATTGTCTCGATCCCGATCGATGCATTTGGTATTGATTATTGATGATGCGACAAGTAACATACTTATGTGTGTTTTATTTGGATCTACTCCAATTACAAATTCCACGCATTCGCGCCGTTAGTACATCAACGGCCGTAGATTGCTATCAGACAATTAGAAAACAAGCATTTTTTTACTCTAAAATACCGAGCTTGAAATTGTGATTGTTTAATCTTAATCAAACAGTTACCAGTATGGCGACATTATGAATGCGTGGAATTTGTGTCCGCAAAGAATGCAAACCCTATGGAAACTAAATTGATGACATGATTATCTTGCTCGTCGATTTCTTTGGAACCAAAATCGTAAATGAGATAAAATAGAGAGATCAAAAATGTATTTACTAACAAAGTGATATACTTATTGCAGGACGTCTCTAACTATGATCAAGAAGTATTGGCATCAACTAGCAAGAAGAAACCACCAGTTTCTTCCTATAAGTTGTTAAAAGCTAATCATGGAACCTCGAAGTTCACAACTACTACACCGGTTAAGTCGACTAGTCCTATTTCTTTCAAAATAGATAGCTTTGCTACTCCAACAATGAGCAACAACAAGCCTTCTGCATTAAGCAATGCAGATAAAAAGAGATCAACTCCAAAGAAAGTTAACTTCACACCAATTAGAGAATTTAATCGATTGACTGCATCAGTTAGGAGGAGATTCGAAAGTACAAAAGTTGGTTCTTCTTCTTCTTCTTCCAAGGTTTCGAAGGATAGCTTGACTCCTCTGAGAACTTCAACCATGGTATCCTGTTTCTTTGCTTTTCTTTTCGATTCCTTACTATTAGTTCTTATGTCACATGTGAGTCGTATCTTGATTTAATAGCCCAGACCATCTTTGAGGGTGTGTAAGATGGGCTACAACACAGAACTTCAAATTTTCCACGGTTAGATTGAACAAAATAGAGCTGTCATGTCATGGTTAAACCATGACTAAAAAGGGCCCTTTATTGTATTGTTAGAGTTGAGTCGTAGCTAACCGACACAGTGATTCCAAAAACTTAAGACGGCCATGTTAATCCTTCAACTTCAATTTCGGTGTGATCTTTGTAGTTGCAATTGTTGTCAACAATGCTAAAGTGAGTCATTTTCACCAATTGCAGGCTTCCAAGGAGATGCAAAAGCATTCTACATTGACTCCATTAACAGAAAACAAAAGGTATCAGATTTCAACAAAGTTATTGATTATAATTTATAAGGTAGAACTGTTTGCTTTTAGTGCAAGTTTTCTCTAGCTGTTCTCATCCTGATATTGTGCTTATAAATTTTTATACAATCATAGGAACAAAACACCAATTGACTCATCGGCATCGCGCAACCATACATCCGGCCCCAAATGGCGCTTGCTCTCTGGAGAGTAGGTCATTTTCACTTTGATCACATGAGTTGTGAAATTTCAGTGTTGGACAAAATCCAAAGTTGAAACTCTTAGTATTTGATTAATTACCTGTCTGGATGTGTGTTTGTTGTACTCAAACTACGATTTCAAACCTCTAAACGCGGTTTCGTCGTGTTTAAAAAATATTTGGTTGAAACATTGTTTTTATAGAAATGTTTCTATCTAAAACAATTCAATGTTTGAGTGGACGAAATCACAAATCACTTTACGTCAAACTCACTCTGAAAGACACCGATTTTCAATGTTCTATCTGCATGCAGGAAAAAAACGAGATCACCAATTATATCGTCTCCTTTCAGCTTAAGGACAGAAGAAAGAGCTGCAACAAGAAAGAAGGTAAAACTAAAATCCTTAAGTTTCTCTTCTATTCCATTGATTATGAGGTTTGCTTCATGTTATGTCACTAAAGTACGTGTCTTCATATACAGAAACTTGAAGAAAAATTCAATGCTAATGAAGTACAAAAAGTGCAGTTGCATACAAAACTCAAGGTTGGTATCATACACAATTAATGAAGTTTAGTTTCTACAAATAGTGTCTCTAAATCGGCAATTTCAGAGACTAAACATCGATTAAAATTTTCACCGAAAATTACCAAATTAAGAACTAAAAGTGAATGAAACTTTCATCGAAACTCAACCTGACAATAGAGTTACTATTGTGAGAATAATAATAAGCAAGCCTCTTATTTGCAGGCGAAAGCGGGGACTGAGATCAGAAAACTACGCCAAAGCTTTTGCTTCCAAGCCAGACCGTTGCCCGATTTTTACAAGGAAAGGAAAGCATCAAATATTGAGACAAGAAAGGTAAATGGAAATATTATCATCAAGTACATATCTATATAACACCAATACTTCAAATTGAAGCCGTGTTTGGTGTCTAACGCATGTCAGTATCGGACCCTGGCACGTTGCCGATGTCAACGTGTTATTGTCATGTTCGGGGTGTGTAAATGTTTGTAAAATATTGGTAAAAGTCCATCTATGTAGCACCGCTACTTCAAATTGAAGTTGTGTCTGGTGTCTGACACATGTCAGTATCGGACACTGGCACGTTACTAATGTCGAGGTGTTAGTGTCATGTTTGGTGTGTATGAATGTTAGTGAGAATTTGGTAGAAATTCATTTTTTGTATGTCTTGCAGGTTCCACAGACACATTCTGAACCACCTAATGTGGGAAGATATCTCACTACAAGTATGGCAGAGTGCAAAACTTCTCTAACTCCAAATAAATCTTCACTGAAAAACAATAGCACCAAGAATTTCATGGGAAAGGGGGGTGGTCATCATCATACCTTGACTAATCATCATCCTCAGACTTCAAATTCCATGAAGATTATCACAACTCATGAGAATGCATCACCAAATATTCAGCATAGGAGCCAAAATGGTAGAATTTACAAATAAGGACCATGCTGAGAGCAGAAAGATCTTGTAAAAATGTAGCTTCACAGAAATGAAGCTGTACCACATTAACCAGGCAGCAAAGTTATAGCAAACATTGGCAGCCTCCTAACCCTTTTGTCTATTTTTCTTTTCTTCATTTTAGGGTGCCTTTCATTTTGCACCCTCTCAATATATTCAAATAGCCTTTCCATTTTGTAATTTTGTAATTTAAAATTTGTATGTCATTTGAACTAGAATCATATTTGAGGGCGTGCAAGATGACCTACAACATTGGAGCCTCAAAATTTTCTGGATAAAACTGTGAGAAATAAGGTCTCATAATAGATCTACCATGATTAGACCACCATAGCTGAATAAGAATCATATTATTTTGTCACATTTGAACCATAACTTACCAACACATTGGCTTCTAAAAGTTTAAGACGGCCCTGATTTACATATCTTGAGTGATATCATGGGTGAAAAAATTTCATGTTCAAATTAAAAAAGATACATTATCCACATAAAATTAACATACATGTTTTTTCTCTCAACCTTTTTCAGCAAATAAAATGCTGCTTTGTATCAGTAATGAGATTACAATAAATTACAAAAAGAAGAGAAATAAAAGCCTTCTAATGATATAATCAAAATTGCCTACAAAAAACTAGAAGCTCAAACTCTAGCATCTTTTGTCCATCTCTTTAAGATGTATTTCGATGGAACTATCCTTATGTTCCTATAGTCAAGAACCTTTAATGCATGACAGCACAAGACTCCCACACACTCAAACTTCATACAGCTGCAACAGATTGTCTCATCAGACGAGTCGAAACTAACCGTATACTCTCGGACTTGTTCATATATGCTAACTTTATAATTATACAATGATCCACTCTCACTGCAATGCTTAAGCACTAGATTTAAGCATGCTTCGTATTCTTTCTGGAATAACTCGAATATCTTTGGCGTGTATGGTTCTCTTACATGCTTTAATGTAACGATATCGCCCATTAGAGCGGGCATATGCCGGCTAGTGTCATAATTAGCTTCTAGTTCCTTGTAGTGCCAATCAGTCACCATCTTCGTGAGATGCTTGAGAAATGGAAGAACACCTGAGTCATTATTCTTGAGGTGCTTTTTCAGGTTGCCGGTAAGATTTTCTCGCACAAGCAAGCTTGCTATGTCGGCACAAAAAATATGTCGTCCGTAAGCTATGGCCCATTGGTTTCTGCTTTCGTATATTTGACGCAACCATTCGTTTTCCCACAGATTATACTTGTCCATGAAAGCATTCCATGCAATAACAAAATCCTCTTCCTCGTCATGATTAAAAAAGCAGCTGCTCAAATCATTTACGAAGGAATCGGATTTAACAGATACGAGACTAAGTCGCTTGAGGGCGTCTTGGTAGACATGCCACACACAAACTCGCTGATTTGTTTGAGGAAACACGGAATTTATAGCTTCGGCTATTATTGGATCTTGATCTATTAGGATTGTCTTTGGCTTGGTTTCAGACATCCCCTTAATGAAAACATGAAACAGCCACTTAAAAGATTCAACAGATTCGTCATATAGAAGTGCAGCCCCGAAGATAATCATTTGCCTGTGATTATTTATACCAAGAAACGGAGCAAATGGGCGCGAGTCCTCATAAAATTTATAACTCGTATCAAAACAAACAACATCGCCAAAGTCTCTGTAATCAACTATCATCTTTGCATCAGCCCAAAATATATTTGTCATTCGATTCTCGGCATCAAGCTGGAAAGCGTAAACGAAAGAAGGATTCTTTGATTGCTTGATTTGAAAGTAGTGCCTAATCTTTTCGGTTTCTTCCTCTTTTATTTCTCGTGTGCATTTGAAAGGTAGTTGATATTCACGATCCACAGGATCATAATCCAGATTAAGAAAACCTTCAACCGGCTTGGGAAGCACATTGCATCCATGTACAATACTGTCTTCAACTCGAGTCACAGCTAGCCTCTTCTGTGATCTTAACATATGAACTCTACACGCAGCAACAAGTTCGTGATTGTGTTTTTCTTCAAAATGAGTTATATGATACTTGCCATCCAGCTGACGAGAAATAATCAGTTGCGCTAAACATCCAATCCTAGTATCCTTCCGCGGTCTCTTTACATTCGTGACTCGCTTCTCTTTCTTCCGGAAACCTTCTCTGAAGCAAGTAAATCTTCTCGATGCCACAGCACCATCGACTTTACTTCTATTTACATAATCTTTTCTAACACTGAAACCTACTTGTGCAGCATATGAATTATAAAATTCATAAGCATGCTCCTCAGAATCGAATCCCATTCCTAGTTTTGGTACTCCATTCAACCTAGACTCGGTTAGGTTCACTTCAACAGCTTGAACAAAACTCAATTTTTTCTGTGATGGCAGCGTATAGGCAATACTGGGTGTTACAAACTCGTGATTGTGTTCTGTTTCGAAACTTGTGACACGAAACTTGCCATTTGTTTGACGAGAAATAGTCATGTGTGCCAAGCAACCGGTCCTTGTTTCTTGTTGAAATTTCTTCGGATTTGTATAATCTTTGTTAGGACGAAAACCCTGTCTATGGCAGGTGAATCTTCTGGACACCACAGAACCATCTATCCGACTTTTGTTGATGAAATCCTTTCTTATGCTGAAACCTTTCAGAATAGCATACTTGTTATAGCACTTGTAAGCATGGTCTTCTGATTCAAACTCCATGTCGATATTTGGTGCCACATATATTTCCTCCTCGTTTGTTACATCAGTATCGGCCACGGATATAGAGGTTGAGTCGGGATTCTGACACTGCTGTCCTCTACCAACATCAATACGAAATCGGTCATCATTGGAAATATTTGAGGTCTGACATTCATCATTAGTTTCCATCGGAGAAGCATTTGCGCTTGGACAATCATTCTCTTTGCCAATGACCTGGCTACTGTCTGCAACAGATGAATCCTCGGGGCTCACACTCTCCTTCCCCATATCAATCACTATCCGAAGTGATACTATGCGACATTTATTTTCTGCGTCATTTTCCTTAGGGTGCCTTTTGTGTCATGTTCAATGTCCGTCGTAGACTTGTGTCCTAAATATACAAAAGAACAAACAAATGAGGGAAAAAAATATAATAGTGACAAAAGACACAAGGCAATAAATGCAACAAGGGCTACTTAAAGTATAAAAAATAAGTAGTATCTATGCGATAATGGCATCGAGGTATTGTATATGTTTGCGACCACAAATGTGTCGCAACATCAAGACTTATTATGATTTTACAACCTCAACGCGACAACGATTGGGAGCGCAGCAGTATCTATCAAGGTTGTAGTCACATCTGACAGAATTGCATAATGCAGTTAGGGAAAACAGTTAGGAAATTCTCATTGTATTGCATAATGAAGAAGATACAATAACACTCATTATATAGAGTGAGCTGTAACAGAAAAGCCCTAACTAACTGATACAGCTGGCCCTAACTAACTGTTACAACTGTAACAGAAACAGAAATCTAACAGATAAGAAACTGCTAATACACTAACTCTATCAACATCAGCCATATTTGACCACGATTCTGTCGCATTATTAAGAATTTCAACATAATTTCTAAGTAGATTCAATTCAAAAGCTACAAATCATAGTTTCAAGTAGAATCAATTCAAAAGCTACAAATCATAGTTTCAAGTAGAATCAATTCAAAAGCTACAAATCATAGTTTCAAGTAGAATCAATTCTTAAAATCATAATCAATTATACCCGAGTGCAACCAAACATGTCAAAATCAATTATACCCGAGGGCAACCAAACATGTCAAAATCAATTTTATACATTTTCTTATTAATCAAAGCTTTTAACATTATCAGTTACTAAAATTTGCAATTACATATGAAAAAAAACACTTTTTGACCAAAAAAAATTACAGATTGAAAAGTGCAGTTCCCATAAACAGCTCATAGAAATCATAAAAATTATGAACAAGGTCTTAGGGTTAGGATTTCCTAATAACATCAAATTAATTAAAAACAAATTAAGCATTAAAATTAAAAATGATATAAATTTAATGAATGAATTACTGAAGTAACTAGATTGATTTTCAGAAAATTGAAAGAGAGAGTGAGAAAGGAACCTGGAAAGTGAGAGGAATTGGAAGAACCGTAAAATTTGTGATATTCGGAACTGTTGTTTTCGATATGAAACATGAATAGTGAAACGGAGGGAGAGAAAAAGAGTGTTTGTTCCAAAAATACGAACCGAACGCTTACTATTGTACCTTTATTAATCATGTAATAAAAAGTTCTATATAAATTACTCCGGTCCTTTTATACAAAAAAAATTTATTACATGATTAATAAAGATTAAAGGTGAAACTATAGTAAAAAATTCTATATAAAAATGAAACTATAAATTTTTTTGGAAACAGATAAAGATTAAAGGTGAACAAAATCCGCGTACAGATTTTATGTTTAAAATCTTAGTATATTGAATTTGAAAGTATTAAAAAAAAATTCAATAAAAGTGATGTATATTAATATAGTATTGTTTTAAACCGAGCCAGACTCTCCCACCGTCGGACACGGTTCAACCCAACTCTTTGTCGGAGAGGGTTTAACAAAGGCCCAATCCATCATCCTGCGCGGGGATCGCTTCTCACGCGTTTTCCCCACGCCCTCCACGTGCTCCCTACGCGGGGACACGTCATCAGCCAACTATTCACGATTTTCGGGCGATAGTTTCACCCTCAAGAACAGATCCTCCGCCTCCCGAAATCCACGGGGCAGTTGACCCAGGACGAAGATTACGTGTTGGTCTTCCCTACTCCACGTAGATCCTGGCAGTTATCCATATTGGTCCGAAAGATCCAATCCAATACAAATAAATGTTGGCCTAACGCTGGGGACACATTATAAATACCCTCCTCCAGAGGAGGATCAGGTATTCTAACTCATATCCACTTTTCATTACTTGCTCTCTCTTTGCTCCGTTCCTTACTTTGGAATCAGAGTATCTTGCAGGTACATCTCCCTCATCTTCTCCACCACCGACGAACTTGGAGCTCACGACGTGTTGCCCCAAAGATGCTTTTCCCTTGCCTTACATCGACAAGTTGGTCGATAATTCTGCAGGTTTCAAGCTCTTGTCATTCATGGACGCATACTCGGGGTATAACCAAATCCCCATGGAAAAAATTGACAAGCAATACACGGCTTTCATAACCGAGTCGGACAACTATTACTACAATGTAATGTCATTCGGCCTGAAAAACGTCGACACTACTTGCCAGCTGATGATGACCAAAGTCTTCCGAGGTGAGATCGGGGACATGCTCAAGGTCTACATGGACGGCATGATCGTGAAGTCTCAAGAAGAAACCGACCAAACCATCCATCTTAAAAGGGTCTTCGACACAGCGAAGAGGTGCAGGATGAGGTTCAATCTGGAGAAGTGCACATTCGGCGTCCGGGCAGACAAATTCCTCGTGTTATACTTGGCAGAACGAGGAGTCGAAGCCAATCCCGACAAATGCAGAACTTTCTTCGAGTTCCCAACACCGAACTCGAAAAAGTCGATTCAATCCCTGAACGGGATGCTCACCTCGTCGTCTTGCTTCATAGCCAAGTCTGCCCAACACGCATTTCCATTTTTCAAACTTCTGCGCAATAAGGCAGCGTTCGAATGGACGGAGAAATGCGAGCAAGCCCTCCTCCATCTCAAACAGGTTCTTTCACAACCCTCGGTCCTCTTGCGACCAGAAAGCGGGGAGACAATATACTTGTACCTCGCCGTGGCAACCGAGGCTGTCAGCGCGGCTCTCATTCACGAAACCCCCGAGGGACGAAAACCTATTTACTTCACTAGCAAGGCCCTACAAGGCCCCGAGCTCAGGTACCAGCAAATCGAGAAGGTCACTCTGGCCCTCATCAACGCAGCGAGGAGATTGAGGCATTACTTCTTAGCACACAAATAGTGGTGCGGATGGACCAGCCCGTAAAGCAACTGCTCGACCGTCCCGACATGGCTGGTAGGATGCTCAAGTGGTCGCTGGAACAGTCCGAGTTCGAAGTCTAATACGAGAGCAGGAAGGTCCTCAAAGCTTAAGTGTTGGCCGACTTCGTGGCTGAGATGACCACCCCGATTTCCCCGACAGAGGGAGCCCATAAGTGGACCATCTACGTGGACAGGGCATCCAGCTCGACAGGAAGCGGTGCAGGCATCATCCTTGAGAATAAAGAGGGGATCCTGATCGAAGTCTCCCTCACGTTATCCTTCTCGACCTCGAACAACCAAGCCGAGTACGAGGCCTTCCTCGCCAGACTGCGCTTAGCCGAGGATCTGGGCGCGAATGAGGTGAAGATCTTCACTGATTCACAGCTGGTCGCCTCTCAAGTATGAGGAGAGTGCCAAGCCAAAAACGACAACCTCGTTGAGTACTTGACCCGGTCAGAGAGAAAATGAAAAAGTTTGATTCCACAAAAGTGCAACACGTTTTCCGCGAACACAACACCCGCGCGTAGGGGTGGGAATAGGCCAGACCAACTAACAAGGGCCTACGGCCTAGCCTACATAGGTCCAGGTCAGGCCAGACTTTTTTATAAGCCTATTTAGCTAAAAAGACTAGGCCACATGGCATAAGAAAAGTCTTTTAAGCCTATCAGGGTGACCTATTTATAAAAAATTCAATAAATTTATTATTATTATAATGTATTTTATACTTTGAATTAAAATACAAAAATAAAGCTTAGTTATTTTGAACAACTTATGAAAATAAGTTGAAAAAACATTATAAACAATGTCATAAGTTTTTTTGCATAAGTTCTCTACAACAAATAGTATCACCAAACTTATACTAATAGGTAAACTCGAATGAGACAATGAAATAAACATTTAGTTTCAATGATCTTTTAATTTGTTAGTCTATTTAACATTAGTTGAATTTCTTATTTACAAACGTTCAAATCAAGTAGGCTTTTAAATAGGCTAGTAGGCCAATCAGGCCTCCAAAAAGGTCAGACTTAGGCCTAAGAATAAGTCTATGATAGGTGTTGCACCCCAAAATTTGACCAACATTTCTTTACCTAGCTCATGTTTCATTTCATTCACATTAGGATTATCATTTACATCTCATTGACATGTGTGCAGGAGATCAAGAGGTATGATTACCAATCAAGAGCACCACAAGACTTTGAAGCTAGCCAATAAGGTTATTCAAGTGTTCAAGGGTTGATATCTATGTCAGAGAAGTTAAGAGATCCTCAGAGAGATTGGTTGAAACCAAGGTTGTGTGCCTCCTAACTTGAGAGTTGTGGGAAGTCATCAGATGATTCTGAAGCCATGAAGTTAGACTTGAGGTCTTGAGAGAGCTCATGAGAAGTGTTGAAGAACACTTTGAGGCCTAGACAGGTCATTGTGCAAGAATAAGAAGCCTTAGCCATGAGTGGTGCAGCTAGGGGTTTGACTGGGTCAACCCTAGGTCAACTGATGATTTGGAGAGGGTTGAGACCTAATCCAAGAGCCATGTGATCATGGATTGATGCATTGAGATTCTATGAGGATGATTCCAAGGTCAACTCATCATGATTGAAGAGTTTGAGAAGTTTCAAGCTAGGGTTTCTAAGGCTTGACAGTGTAAAATCCCCTAGTTTGACCCCTATCTTCAGGCCATTTAGCTCAAGATGTGATTGTCATCTCATATTACCCCCAACATGAATGTTGTATAGCTTGTTCTTAGCTTTAATTTGAGTACTAGAAGTCCTTGATAGGATTTGTAGAACTCAAGTTATGACTTTGACAAGTTACAGGTCATCTGAGGTATGTGAATCTGGGGCCTTGAAAGTTACCCAACTTGCATCAAATGTTTTCCGAAGAAGGATGATTCCTATGAACTCTTGGTCAACATGAATGTTGTTCCTTATCTTCTTAGCTTTCTAGAGAGTACTAGAAGTCCTTGATAGGATTTGTAGAACTCAACTTATGGCTTTGACAAGTCA